GAAATTATTTTCTAGGCCGACCTCTTTCGCGCCGCCTGTGATACTTTTAAAACCTACGGACGATGGTATCGCCAAATTGTCAACCCCGCAAGTTTGTAATTAAGGAATTTGTCAGGGATCTATTATTCTATTGCTAGACGCTAATTTCGCTGTATTTCAAAACTAGATCGCTTAGTGAGTGCATGCAACAAAACTTTTAATAATTCGGTCGTTCTTATTTATCCGTTGTATAACTATTCGAGTCCCATGCGTGCACACATCACTTTGTACTCACTCTAATCTAAACCGATCAAACCGGCAAACTACACGACAGTCCAGGCGCAATTTGTGCCACTAATTTAAAATCCAGCGCCTGTTTCCAGCTCTCTGCTCTTTTGTGCAAGGTCAAAGTAATCTGGGGCATTTAAAAACTTCCTTTCAACCGGTTCATGTATGGTGTATTCTAATAGATCAGCTCACAATTCACACAGTATACAACAAAACTTTATTATCCATTTCGTTACAAGGACTGGCGACTTTTCAAGATATTTACATGCTGCAAGTATATTACACAAGAATGCGATCGGGCAGCGACAGAGTTCATTTTATTATCGTTCACGATAAAAACTGGCTTCAGTCAATCCCAGGGTATTTGGGTTCAATTTGAGGGCAGAGTTCCACTGCAAAAATAGTAAATCTTTGAAATCAAATCCGCAGCTCGTCTATCACTAGGAAAACTAATAGCATTGTAAATTATCCAGCATCGTACGTAAAAAATGTCAAAAAGAAATTTTTCTTATACTCTTGGTTCCATGTTTAATTAAGTTGTCTACAAAATAAGTATTAACTGGGCTGGTACTGGTCAACTCTTTGCAGCAATTTTTCAGCGTATCCAGGAGAATAGTATCTGAAAGGATAATAAAATCAATATTACAACTGGCCTAAGAAAGCTTTGGAAAATTCATGGTACGATGTGATTCCCACAGAAGAGCAGATTCCTTTGTAGAAATGTCATTTAGAGCGATTTGCTGACAACTGGTAAAACCAGTAAGTGTAATCTCATCTTGTCAATCGTCAAATGCGAGTAACATAGCGCGGCTTTCATTTGAATGTCGACAGGTTAACGGTGTTGCATCACTACGACACAAGATTGACTTAAAAAACAGCGCCAACCCTTTAAATCCAATCATAACTCGTTCCCACACGTTTTCCCGCGCTTTGGAACAAGTGCATGTAATGACTTCGAGTTTTGATTGGTTCATTGAATTGCCTGCATCTTTTGTGATTGGCTAGAATGATTACCCAATTGCAAACCGCTCTAATGAGCCAATTAGAACTGAACACGCAAATTGCACACACAGCGTTTATTCACCTGACAATTTCTTCAGGATAACAGTTGTTAATGGTGTTGATGTGCTCACTGAGCTCTGAATTCCTCTCTGCTTTGATCTCCTGCACCTTTCTCAGTCCTCCACTTGTCACAAACAGCCGGCGTGCTTTTGCGTCGTGCGGGAGTACCTTGGCAAACTGACTAACCACATGCTTCAAAATGTGAGGCGGTGCGTCGTTCAACAAGGGCTCTAGGGCAGGAAGGTGGACACACTTTTGAAGAATGTTCTTCAGAGCTTTCTTGGACTAAAAAATCAATCAAGGCAAGAAAGAGATAAATATCTGGTGTTGCGCGTTTCAAGATGCAAGACTTGATCACGTGCGAGTCAAAAGTTCAAATTGTTGTTTCCATAGGGAGTTAGTGAGTTCTGACCCATGACACGTGACACGTTCTCCGTATTTGAGTCGCGAGGTATAAGAAACGTCTTTCTATGGGAGTCTCCACACCCCCTCCCCCTTGAAAGAGAGGGAGAGATTGAGGCCTGAATAACGTTTGTAGATATCCGTGTGGGTTTTACGAGTAGATATGACCCAGATATTGCTCACACGAGGGAAATAACTACAGCAAAACTCAAAATGTTAGTTTGCTAACGAAAACAAACAAACAAACAAAGAAAACAGCTGGTTTTTCTCGTTTCCTGAAACTTTAACACGAATTTTCTCAAATGTTACTTCGTGTAAATCTTTTTGGCGACGTTTTGTTCGGTTTCCCTCACTGCTTTCTTCAAGCCTCGACTATAAGTAGGAGCAAACAGAGCTAAATTCTCGTTCACAAGATCAAGCAATGTTTCCAAACCACTTATTGCAGAATTTACAGTCTCTTTGTCGCTTTTAGGATTTTCACGTAAAACTTTGCACGACGCTTCTGATTAACGTTGCAAAGGAAAAAGTTTCAAACATGTATTAGCTGTAGTCATATGGTTACCTTAGCTTGCAGGTCTTCAGAACTAGCAGAGCTGAGAAAACAGAAGAGCAGTGACTGCAACACATTAGTGACTGCCACTGCCTTAGCATGCTCAGGCGTGTGTCTTCCAATTTGACCCAGGGCCCACGCAATAGCAGCCTGTTGATACAGTGACATTAACACAATCATTACGAATTACTATTTATAAATGTTTACATTATAATTTCTACCCTTAGTATCTTAAGGATTTATTAACTTTGTGTTCTATGGTCTTCTCTCTTAGTGGAACTGATATATTTTCATTGTGTAAACCTGCTCCACTCCTTATGGTCTTCACTTGCTTGGAACTCTCTACGTTAAAACATTAGAGCGAAGCCTACGTTAACTGGTTTCAAACGTCTGGTGAAAACAGTCTTCTTTCAGGCCTGATTGCTATTTTACAGTTCTAAATTACCTGTATGTGATCCTCCTCATTCCCTGATAACTCTCTCACTGACGTGATTCGCTGCATTTCAAGGTAGGAAAAAAAAACTTTCATTACTGGTAACCAAAAAAAAAAAATAAATGACACATTGGAAGATAAAAAATTAGGAGTGATCAAGAAGATTCATGTGCTCAGAATACTGCAGGGAAGGCGAAACAGTGAGAGTGCTCGCCTCTCATGATCAATGTGGCCCAGGTTCGATTCCAGCCAGCTGGTACTATGCATGGGTTGAGTTTGTTGTTGGTTCTTGCCTTGCTGCAAGGGTTTTTCTCCTGGTTCTCAGGTTTTCCTCCCTCCACAAAAACCAACATCTCCAAATTTCACTTCGACCAGGATGGAGGACCTGCATGAGACCCAGCTAAGGCAGNAGGAGTGAAGGAGTGAAGGAGTGAAGGAGTGAAATAATAAATATTTTCAAGTTAAAAACGAAAAACTGCTGTTCATTTACTTGTAGGAACATTGACAGGTTCAAATTAGGGGGCCATACATTCAGCCGAGGACGGGTTTGATTTTAGACTACACTGATCAGGAAAATTTACTCGAAAAGCAGTGTTGAGCTTTGCCCCTCGAAAATACATACACTTTGTTTTGAGGGGATGCAAGTGAACTCTACAGTACACTCTGTGTAATTAACGTGAACACCAAAGTTTGAAACCCTGCTGTAAAACCCTTTCATTAACCTCTTTTACTCATAACACAGCAGAGAGAGGAACATGCTAAAATGCCGAACTGTATACTAAACATTGTTCTATGTCCATTTCGTCTCAACCGAACATGTCACTCTCTTGTTCTATGTTATGCATTTCTTTGTTTCGTTTTTCTCTAGTTCTGTCGACCTGTAACATCGACTCTGAAACTAACCGTTTCTTATTGCCCTCTTATTTCGCTTTATCGCAAATGTCGCCAAATGGCGAAATTTTTGGCAAGCAAAATGTAGCGCTCCTATTTTCTCGCAAACTAAGGTTCCCGCGAAAAGAAATTATCGATGAGTAATTGAAGTTGAAAAATAACTGTCATTGATTGAAAAATGTTTTTATTTTCAGCTCTTGGCGGCTCAATCGGTCTGGGCATGGTATGGTTTGCAAGTCCGCTGGCAGGCTATCTGTGCGATCGCTTTGGTTGCCGCATCACATGTTTCTTGGGAGGCACGCTATGCATTGCGGGTCTGGTGTCGACTTCATTCGTCCAGAGCTTCACAGTGATGTACTTCACGTACAGCGCCTTGTACGGTTTAGGAACATGCTTTGTATTCAATTCTTGCTTTCTTGTAATTGCTAAGTATTTTACAGAGAAGTTGTCTGTAGCTACTGGTATTGTTTCGTTAGGCGCGAGTGTAGGGGTCCTCTACACCGGACCTTTGCTTCAAGTCCTTTTAGACTCGTTTGAATGGAGGAACACTTTTAGAATAATGGCAGTAACTTACCTGCTTGTTTGCATTTTGAGTCTGAGTTTCAATCCATATGTAGAAGAAATAACAACAGGGGAGAACTTAAACATTGAAAGGAGCAACAAAGAGGAAGTAAGGGACGATAAGACAGGCATCTCTCTTTACTGCAGTGTGTGGAGCTTTCCTGCTTACACCGTTGTTGTAACGTCGCTCACGTTTGCCAGTTTTGGGATGTATATTCCTTACATCAACCTGGTATGTTAATTTCAAATAGTTTGTTATTGTAAGTTAGGACGAGTTTGCACCAAAATAATTAGGTTATTCGCTTTCGATTTTTATGCATGGTAGAAATCTCGAACTCAAAATCTAATTGTTAAATGTGGTTAAATATTTTTTTTCTAAAGCCACGCACGGTCATGTTACACTTAGCCGTACTTTTACAAGAAACTGTACGCATACATACATAGTGTAGGAGAAAGATTGCTTCGAAAAAATTCGCTAGAGTTTGTGGCGTCCTTGGTGCCATGTACCAATTAATAAGGTAATATACGTTCCCGAACCTGGAGCTCTTTTTGCGCATGACAAAGAAACCGAAATCTCGGGGACCAAGAATGGGACACGACACAGATTTCTGTGCTGTTAAATCAACTTTGAATTCATGGCCGTTTTTGGTTAAAGTTTCGGACACTGGACTGAGTGCACGAGAAAAGTGTCTCCGTTTACTTAAGATTACTTTCCAAACTTGGTTAAATAAGACATTTCTTAAGAGGTTATTGTTAATTTTTATCTAGGTCAAGTACTGTGAAGATATTGGAATCTCAGCGCAGAAAGCTTCTCGGCTGTTCATTTTTATCGGCCTTGCCTCATGTGTCGCGCGAATAATGACGGGAAGACTGTGTAACAACAAAAGAGTTAATCCAGCGTACGTTTATCAATCATGCATGGTAACAGCTGGTCTCGCCGCCTTTATGCTGCCCTTCACCACAAAATACTGGAGCCTTATCGTTTTCAGTGTCATTTATGGATTCAGCGATGGTATTTTCATAACAACTCTGAATTTTATTCTACTGACGGTTGTGGACAGCAAGAGAACCACGGCCGCTTTCTGCATCAACAATGTGTTATATGCGCTTTCTGCTGCCGCCGGTGGACCAGTTGCTGGTGAGTTAATAATGTTACTTCAAACCGAGCGCGAAAACTGTCCATGGGGAGCACAGGCCTGAGGTCTTGACCAGAAGTACAGTACGTTTTGAGTGCAGTGTGTCGGGTACAAAAAGACAAAAAGACCATTTAGCTCTTCTAGTATGGCCATGAACTATAACCCTCTAGATGAATTTCATGAAACTTGGCGATCGTGATTACAAGACGATCTTGTGATAGTAATTGACCGATCATGATAGACGTAGCAACTGAGAAATATGATAATGCGATGTAGTCAAACCACATCGATGTCGCACCCCCACCCCCCTCCCCATCCTCCTCCTCCTCCTTCCTAACCCCAATTCAATGTTGCTTTGGTCTGCTGAAAATCAACGCGACAGGGGAGGGGCATAAGCACCATTCATTTAAGAACGTTTTGGATTTAAGTTGTGCCAACTTGTTCAGTGTATTAATAAGAGATTTGTTGCATGACTGAAAATGTTTTAGAAAATGTTCCACGATCACGGACTGGAAAGACACTGTAAACGTCACACTCACGTTAACTCACGTCTGTATTCAACAAAGAAAAAACTAAGAAATGTTGAAAAAGAAAGAAAACTGATCTTTTATACGGGTAGGTTACTAACAATTCTTTTACATAAGAAAGTGATAATATTGCAGACAACTTCCACTGAGAGTGATCGCGCGGGATCATTCATCGGGATCATTAAACCTATTTATCAAATAAACGTATGTATGTATGTGTTCGGGACAGTGACCTTGTCCACTGAATACTTGCCAATACCAACACGGGAAAACGGGAAATACCAACGCGGGAAAAAGCGTGAGAACGAGTCACTTCTATCTTGTAACGTACTAATGTGAGACCAACTACTTTTAGAGACTCCAGAGAAAACTGCCTTGACATTGAAACCAACTCGAAGGGAAATACTTTTCGGTCAGATCTTTTTTAGAAATCCAGGAATAATCAATAAGATATGGTGGAAAACCACAGTAGAAACTCAGTAAAACTCTGAGAAAAGAATCCTACCTTTTAGGGATCTTTCAAGCTCATTTCTTTCTTGCTTCCTTTCTTCAGCCTTGATAGCGGACCACACAGGGAGCTATATCTACGCATTCTACATGACGGGAGGAGTACTGTTTGCTGCTTTCCTGATACCAGTAATAATGATTTTCATCAACTGGAGAAAGTCTAAAGTTCACCCACAGACCTCGGAAGTAGAAGAAGACGAAGAGAAAAAGGTTGATACAATATCAAAGGCGTTTCAGACTGAGCTGGCGCAAAACTCTGGAATGGAACCACGCGATGGAACCTTGACGAGAATGCGCAGTTCTAGCACAAACGCCTAGTTTTCATTGACGTGTTTTTCACTCATCCTAGTATTGGGTTCCAAAAGGAGCAGGGGTGGCGCAGTGGCAAGAGCGCTCGCCTCCCAGCAAGGTGATCCGGGTCTAGGATTCTGGCCAGGTGCCATATGTGGGTTGAGTTTGTTGTTGGTTCTCGCCTTGCTCCGAGGGAAGTTTTTCTCCGGGTTCTCCGGTTTTCCTCCCTCCACAGAAACCAAGATCTCCAAATTCCAATTCGACCAGGACAGAGGGCGTGCATGAAAACCAGCTAAGACTGATGAAGATTTCTCTGTAAATACTCCAACTTATCTGTTTATCTCCCTCGTTCATAAAAATGAGCCCATTCCACCGATAATTAGCGTTTAAAATGTTGGCTACGTCGTGAGAAACTGGGGCTCTAGAAATGTCATTAAACCGGAGGGTCCTATGGCTATATACGCCAAATGCACATAGTTATTGTCTGTTAGAACTGGTATATACCAGTGAAAGTATAAAATTCGGTACCGTTAGCAATCGAACAATATCCAAGGTAGCAGGATTCAATTGAACGCATTTGAACTTAAATTGCGAGAGTCTGATAACCAAACATTGTCATTTAACACAATGTAAGCTTTGAGGACGACAGTGCGTACGTATTTTTCAAGATCATTGCAGTTCTGTCAATACAGTCACGAGGAGATATTTACAGTAGAAATCAATCGCGTCCCGTCTTGAGGAACATAAAAACAAAGGGAATTACGAGAGGTATCGCCAACGAAGGCAGACGTATTTCCAGCTGTCACTTGGTTCCGCGTTTTTCAAGTAAATTTAAGTGATTGCAGTCCTAATTCAAACTTGTCCTCGGCTGAATGTGTGACCGTCTAATTTTGAACTTGTCAATGTTCCTAACTCCCCCCAGCCCCCACCCCCCCCCCCCCCC